ATTGGAGGCCCTACGCACGAACCAAGACCGAAAAGAGCGCGCCAAGTTCGGTCGAATGTGAAAGTTTTGCTGACAGTTTTCTTCGATTGGAGGGGCGTGGTGCATCATGAATCTTGCCACAGGGTAGAACGGTCAATAAGGAATAATACCTGCAAGTTACGCGCAATTTGCGCGAAGCAATCCGCCTGAAACGCCCGGATTTGTGGAAGAACAATAATTGGCTTTTGCACCACGATAACGCCCTTGCTCACACATCGTTGCTTGTGCGCGACTTTTGGCCAAAAACAACACACTAATGATGCCGCAGCCACCGTATTCCCCAGATCTGGCCCCCTGTAACTTTTTCTTGTTCCCTAAACTGAAGAGGCCATGAAAGGACGACGTTACGCTACGCTTGACGAGATAAAGACGGCATCGAAGGAGAGCTGAAAAAGATTTTTTTTTATGATTTTTTGAAGTGCTTCGAAGATTGGAAAAAACCGTTGGCACAAGTGTATAATATCTCATGGGGATTACTTTGAAGGGGAAAAATAGGTATTCATGAATAAATATATAATTTTTGAAAAAACACAAAATTCGCGATACTTTTTGAACACACCTCGTATATCAAATTCTTTTTACCAGCATTTTCAATATCGCTATTTGCAGTTTATCTCCATTGTGCTGAAAGAAAATTCATTACTATAAATTTTAGACAGATGGGGGCTCCATTCATTCATGAGTTAACCCCACTTGAAACAATACCCGGGCGAAGCTGGTTCCAGTCGGCTAGTATATATATATGAGCAGTTATATATTATGAAGCAGATAAATATAAACCCTACCTAAACAAATTACAGCAAAAAAATTGACCCTACCCTTAAAAAGAGCATTTACTGAAAATTCACAGCTGCTGGCTTATAATATAAATGCTATTAAGGATAAGCATATTACATGGAACAACATATCGTAAAATATATGTAGCAAGTTATATAGAAAAAACATACTTTTTTTCAATAAATATATTTTTGCAACTTCAATAAAATGTATACTTACTTTAAATTTCTGCAGGTAAACTCCGTACAATTGGTATAAGTGTATAACGAATCAAAAGTTTTTACGAAAGAAAGTAAAAATATATAGAATACACTGTTCTAAATCTCAATTTGTCTTAAAATATGAATATTCCTTATGAGAATCGAATAGTAAACCTTAGCTTAAAAATGTTGATCGTTATATATAATATATATATAATAATTAAAATTAAACGATGCAATTTTTGTTTTGTCACAAAAAAATAAGAATAAAAATATCTCTAATTAATTTAATTTGAAAAATATTACTAAATAACTAAATAAAATCTTACATTCTAAAAGGAAAAATGATTTGAATGCAATTTTTGCACTTTTAGCCTAAATGCTAAACCAAAACCTTAGCTGCCTACGTGCGAAATTTCACAATACAGTTTTATTTAACCCAGGTTCCGTGGGCGTATAAATTTGTTAATGATCGATTAATGTTATTTCCAAAGAGTTTAAAAATATATATATATATATAAATAATCTTACCTTTTAAAAACATTCATCGTGTAAACAAAATACATGTAAAATTATTAACCAATCATTTTTTTAAAGCACATTAACCTTTTTAGTTTATTTTCAATAGCCAATATGTTAAAAGAAATCTTTAGCTACCTATATGCAAAATTTCATAATGATTGATTCTGTAGATTTTGCGCAACGCGATAATGAACATCGATTTTGGATTTCATTTTTATAGATATAAAGGAAAGGATATATATATATATAAGGAAGGATATATATTCAAAGAGAGATAGATAATTTGGTGAAAGGTGTATCTTGCTATTTATTTTACTACATTTGGCACACAGAGAGAGAACTAAGATATAAGCCATATAGTCTCATGCATACTTTATTTTTAGTACATTTTGAATATAACACTTTAATAAGACCTAAGTCCGATCATTTTTCTTGATTCTTACATTAAACAGGTTGCACTAGTTTATTTACAAAACAATTAGAAATAATAAATATTGTACATAAATCAGGACTATTTCAATTTATATTACAGTAAAGACTTTAAAGATTTACACTTATCTTCAACTGTTTTTGTTGACTTAGGGTAATATCTAAATTTAGAAATAAACATCTTCACATTAAAATTGTAGATTTCACTTGATATTCTCTATGAGGTAATTCTCCAAACTTTGTACAACTTCGGCTTTTGTAGTAAAACTCAGATGTTTTAGCTTGGTTGCTTTCACGAACTTCTTCATTTTGTTAAACAATGTCTTTCTTTTTTTACCTATAGTAACCTTTTTTATGATCGGCAGAGAATATATTTTGAGTTCATTTTTTATAACTTTAGTATTGGATAGTGCTTTCTTCACCCGAGTAGTTTTATGGGACAGGTATAGTGCCAGCTTGTTCTCACAGGATTCCAGGACAAACTTGCGGTAGGTAATCGTGCTTTTCCCGATGACGGTCTTGTCCATGTATTCAACTTCAGCTTGGCATTCGTCCCAATATTTGATAGTGTCGGTTCATTGGCAACGATCTCAGGCTTCAAGTGAGTTGGCCTTTTTACGACCATATGCATGATTAGTAACTTTGCCATATGTAGGGCACCTAAATCTATGGCTTTTTTTAAACAAGCTATTCTATTAACGTTGTTAAAAAGATCTGCCCCACCAAGGATCAACAGCTCGGCGACTTTTATATCAATACGATCTATAGCTGTTTGTAACAGAGACCTGCCAATACTATTCGTTATGTTAGGATCCGCTCCTTTGGAAATTAAAAACTTGGCTAATTTTGTATTGGATGTAACCACAGCCCTGTGTAATGGGGTATCTCCATTAGAATCTAGTATATCAATTGAAGCTCCATTTCTCAGTAAATATCGGCAATATTTGTTTTTTTTATAAGATGCAAACAGGTCCTGGAAAAGGATTCTATCGATGCATCAATTTCAGCACCAGCTTTAATTAGCACCTTGGTGATTTCCTCATTTTGGACAGTACAACATGATAAATATAAAGGCGTGATGCCCCTACGACCTTTGGTGTTTACATTAGCTCCTGATTCCAAGAGTAACTTGACCATTTCGACATGTTCACCAAGTGTAGCCTGTGCTAAAGGTGTTGAAAAGCTATAATCCTTTCTATTGACATCAGCATCAGCTTCTATCAAGACACGGGCTGTATCAACATGGCCAAACCTTGAACATAAATGTAAAGCTGTATCACCAAATTTAAACATAGCATTTACATCTATTCCTTGTCTTATTAAAGAAATCACCACATATTTTTGGCCTTTCTTAGATGCTTGTTGCAATCTAGAGTACCTGTTATTGAAATTAGTTTTCTTCATTGAAATATCACAATTAAATATATACAAAAGTATATTTATACACGTTTCATATTAATGTATATTTTAAATACATTATTAAAAAATGCAAAGATTAATTTTAGCTTTCTTAGTTTTTGAGCATAAACGAAAAGTGATATTTTTAGAATGTTATGAAATGTATATTATTGAAATAAATTCTCTCTGAAATAAAATCTGTTTTTTTTTTTCAAATCAATATTTTAAAATTTAAAATATCCAATGCGCAAATTTTTTAGAAAATAAAAAAATCGCGTTAAAAGTTTCAAATTTGAATAGCAGTTGGCTTATTAAGTCCTACTTTCTATATATTTAGGCCAGTATATATCCTTCCTTATCCTTATACTAGACGAATGGCCTGGGCAACGCCCGGGTTTTACCCGAGTGCGTATATATTTTAAAAACGTTTTAATTCAAATACTATTCGTTACAATTATAAATTGGCGCCATGGATGTCACTCTTGTGAAACGTCCCGTTCCAAACTGTGTGTTTTTAAAATGTTTTAATTAAAATACTATTCGTTACAATTATAAATTGGCGCCGTGGATGTCTCTCTTGTGAAACGTCCCGCCCCAAACTGTGTGTGTCTTGAAAATATAAAAATAAAAATGTGAATTTCCATAAAGATTTCATCATGTCGATTTTTCTTTTTGCATTTCACCTACTAAATCGATAGAGATAATTACATTTGCAACATGAACTTAGGTATATTGACTAAATAGAAAACTGCATAGTAATAAAGATCATTTTTTAAAGGCACCATATCGTTTTTTTTTCAATAAAATCGAAACAAAAATTAACGATAAATAACGATAATTGCCTTAAAAAGAAATTGCCTTAAAAAAAAAAGAAACATTCGCGGTGATTTTGTCTTGCATTCGTTTATACAATTATTATATACGAATGACCCGGGCAACGCCCGGGTTTTACCCGATTAAATGCTTTTATTCAAATACTATTCGTTACAATTATAAATTGGCGCCGTGGATGTCATTCTTGTATAATATATAAATGAGTTTTAAAAATTGTAAAAAAAAAAAAATGCATCGGCCGGGAATCGAACCCGGGCCGCCCGCGTGGCAGGCGAGCATTCTACCACTGAACCACCGATGGTTATGAAAAATCCCATTTCTGGTTCTGTCACGGATGCGCGCGCATCATCATTATGATCATTATCATTATCCAAATAATTTGGATTATAGATTAGAAGGTAATAAGACCAAATCTACTGATAAGGTACAATTTGGAATATAGATTAGAAGCAGAAGGTAATAAGACCAAATCTAATGATAAGGTACAATTTGG